AAAACTATTGGAGATTATATAAATATAACTATATGTGTTGCTATAGTCACCAAAGCAATTCCAGTAATTAAGTCTACGTGGAATTCACGAAAGAAGAACGAACATATGCGTTATCATTGGAGAAAGATGGGATTATCCTTTATCTCGTTAATGCACTGCATCCGTTCGTTATTTAGGTGTGTCTAACTTCTACATTGTTATTCCAAACAATTTTTGTTTCCATAAAAAAAGAGAACCTTCTTTCTCGAAAACATCGATCATTTGCACGATCATCCGGGAAATAAATTTTTGTGTAATTACTGCATCTGTTTGATCATTCAAAGATATCTAGAAGACAATGAAYGTGCAATCACACAAACCACTTTCATCCRTATATTTTTTGTTACTCATAGGTATAAAGTACTATAAACAATGATAAAGTAATTACATAATCTACACTCATCCATGCGCCTTTCTACTTAAACTGCTCTGATTTAGGAAATCTATTGATAGGGTCATTGATCGTTTGTGTTATCGTTTCAAGGGGGGTTCTTCCCCTTCGAGTAATACACGCGTCCTTTGCTTTCTCAAAGTAAAAACTACTGCAATAAAAAAAAATTATAATTCATCTGGTATTTCGACTTCAGAGGGGTAAATGAAGCATTCATATGCATTCGAAGGATTACGAGATATCCATAGAATCTACTTGAGAATTTTAATGATATTTTTAAAAAGCTTGGGAAATAAAAATGTTTAAAGTGCATTAGTCTTGGAAACAAATACACAAGATCATCCATGCAATAAGGAGAAAAAAATAATTCGATGAAGTGAGAARGGATTGGAGAATATGAAAGATTACGAGATAGGAAAAGCGCTACRTTAGTTAGAGGGGAACACATTCGGAGCCCAACTTACCCTGTTGTGTAGGGGTCGCACAAACGGGGGTGAGCGCCAAGTGGTTGAGAGGGATATCGAGATGGTGAAATATCACGCGTTCTGCTGATGAAGGGGCTTGTCGGCAGGATTGAGCTAGAGCATAGCCGCGGTAGAGATGATGACGCTACTGTAACAAGTCTTGTCGGAGTAAGGTSAGGGGGGTTGAAGGGGGTTCGGGTGTGTTAAGTTGAGTCATCATAGGTAAGYAARCAAATTTGTTGAYATAACATAGTCCTTTTCATTTTCATTACCATCAAAGGATGTTCCCTTCTCAGTCAATCCCCTGGATTTCAGGGTAATCAATGTTGGCAGGGGGAGGGCCTCTCAACTTTTCTTAAAAACGATCCTTGTTGAAGCTGTAAATGTCCTTATGGGATGCTGGATCCGGTTTCCAGCACGTGCCGCACCCTAAGGAAAAGAGGTGCGGGGATCGCAAAAAGGTGGGAGGATGATGGAGGAAGAGAAGAAGTGAGATTAAATTTTACAGCAAACAAAGCRCAATAAATATMTTATTGAAAAAAARTCAACGTGGYTAGGCCCGATTATGTGGATGATGTCCATGAAAAAAAAATGAAATTTACTCACAATGCAAAATAAAGCAATTGAGAATTTTACCCCAACTGTATCCCACAAATGGATCTTTGTGATGTGGGATTTCATTCCAACGCCCATGGTAGGGAGATAGTGGGAAACCATGAGCCGACTTTCTCCCTTTAGTTAGCGTTCGTGACGTAATCAGAGGGTTTTTACTCATGCGGTCACATATGCTTCGGAAGTGAAAGTGAAGCCGAGAAGGGGAGCGAGCATGCTTTGAGGTGAAAGAGAACAACGAGGAATGYYAGAAAAACAAGTAGGGCTATAAACACGAGTCGTATAAAGGCGGAGACTTCAATTACTACTTCAGTCCACTCCGCCATTTCCACTGAGCGTGAGAATATAATCAGCAGTTTGTAAATGAGTCWGCGAGCAATGAAGTAAAGGTTAGGAAAAACAATGATCACGCCTTGATTGTTGGTGATTAGAAGAGSGGGGAAKACGAGTAMTTAGCTGGCAAGGTAGAAWAAAAGAGCAGATGGAGGAGGACAACTTAGGTGGTGTCACATATGTGAATCGCTCAGTGTTTTAAGTATAGAGAATTAGTTGAGTTATATCGCGTTTTTGTCCGCTCCCAAGWGCTCATCGACCAATYTAAATCCGACTTCGAAGTCCATGACTCCATGGTGATTCTTGTTCATATAAAAACATAAGAATTTCGGTCCTCCTCCTAACCCCTTCAACCCAAGCGTCACACTAGAGCTTTCTTGATGCACCTAACCCAACGTCCCAAACGCAATGTCTATAAAACGAACCCACACCTCGTTCATAATGGATGTGCCTTATTCTTAGTGTTGTTATTCGTATCCGCTCACGTCTATATAGTATAAATCAATCGTAAAGATTCAAGGATGTCTTGAGTTTTCCTTTTGCTGCGCTGCGTTTTGGTGAGGGATGAAAAAATAATTGAAAAAAGTAAAGAAAAACAAAAATGATGAAGACAAATACCTAGGAATGGTGTACAGTAGGAGGGGAA